AAAAATTCCTGAGGTCCGCTGGTTCGTTCCGTGGCTTAGTTGGAAGTTGGTTGGCCACGTCGGTTCGAATCCGGCCGAATCTTAGGATTTTTTTTAAATGTTCGATCTTTGTATTAATAATTATAAGCAACTAAACTTTAGTTGTATGTAACAGGTATTCATAGGCACAGACACGGGGCGCGTGGCACCGCACATGTTCTACCAGGCGTGCCGAGTGTCGGGGAAGAACTCGACGCCGTGCAAGGAGCGGAAGGAAGATGGCACTGTCATCATCGAGATCGATCTAGAACCCGCCAAGAACTGGCAGGTTACTTGCGACTGCGTTGGAATACTTAAGGTTAGCTACAGCGTTGATTTTTTTTATGTTACGAAGTGACCGTGCGCCTGGTGGTAAGCGACACGCCTGTCCACGACAGTTGCAGCGTTACTCAGAGCTTGAAATCGCGAAGATGACTGCGCCCTTCACCCTGAGACGTAAGTTGACAAGTCCCATGTGCCTGCAATTTCACTAGCAACTTCACCCTCCAGGACCGGAACACAGTAAACAGTAAACATTACTGCTTGGCGGGAGAAATAGGTAATGTGGCAATACTACCCTGGACGCACTCTTTCACAAGAAGCTCTATTGCTACTAGATGTTGATTGTAGTGGCGGATTTGCCCTTAGGCCCGGTAGGCCCGGACCTAGGGCGGCCAGTCGTGGCTAAAAATTCACTGATGACAAGAAATAACTCAAAGTGCCTAAATATTCTAAAGGCTCACGCACATTATGGCGGGCCGCACTGCACCGCATAGTCTAACAATAATCTTCCTAAATCACTTTCGTACAGAATATAGATATGTTATATATCTATAATGTAATGTATAATCACTACATCGCTACATATTATCACTACCGCGTCTGTCTGTCTGAATCCGATAAACTCAAAAAGTACTGAATGGATTTTCATGCGGTTTCCACCAATAGACAGAGTGATTCATGAGAAAGGTGTAAGTGTATAATTTATTTAGGTTTTGTGTAAGTTGGCTGAAAATGTCGAAAAAAAAAATCATGCCGGCTGGGCGTTTTACTGGCATGCGCCCCGTAAACTAACAGAGATAATATCAAATCAATGTTCTAGAAAAACATTAAAGTTATCAAAAATAATAAATAGTAAATTTCTAAATCGATTACTATAAAAGTTGGCAATACATTAATTATGTAGTCTATCAGTATATGACGAGTGCTGAGAAAGGGGCGGCTGGTATTGACTACATAGCCTGGGGCCTAAGGCGGCCCAGACTGCAAATCCACCACTGGTTGATTTTATAGAGAGGTGCGCACACACAGCCAAATAATAACACCAGAAAAGTATGCAAAACTCAAACTAGGATGATCCCTGTGACACTGGATTGTTACATTTTGGTTGTACCTACAGGTTGTAAACATAATATGAAAAAATTAAAACGTTCATCACAGTAATATTAAAATAACCTTTTCATCACACTTGCACGTAAATAGAATGATTGCATGCAGGCTAACTTGTCTATATCGACACCTCCTACGTAGAGTATCGTATGTCGAAATTGCCAAGTTTACAGGGAAGCATTTTGAAGTTCTGAATTCACTGAAATGAGCATAACACGACAAAGCTAATCTAATAGATCATTTAACCGATATGTAGGGTTTTACAATACTCTGTGTGAGTAACCGTTTGCCGAATAAAACTGAAAAATGCTAACATCACCTGTTATGCTCCTTTCAGTGGATTCAAAACTTTAAAACACTTCCCTGTAAACTTGGCAATTTCGACATACGATATTTTACGTAGGAGGGGTGGATGTGTTCCAAATACCAAACCCTCGGGCCTTTTTTCTTCTCATTACACGACTATGGTTGTAATCAGAAGAAAAAAGGCCCGATGGTTTTATTTGAGGCATAATATTCCAGTTAACCTGCATGCAAGCATACTATTTACGTGCAAGTGTGATGAAAAACATTCTATTCTCTCTTTGTTTGTTTTTACTGAAGTTCCGATCACCGATGATAACACAAACCAATGTTCATGTAACTATTGTTTAAATACACAATTTACCTGTAAATAAAGCCCGGTTGTGCTTGGACATAAAAAAGATTCATAAAGTCGTCGAAGTCTCCTTTTACAAATATAGGTATTTCGCTAGTACAATAAGCGCACAAATTTACGTATACGCACACAAATTAATTGTACTCACTCCATATAATTTACGAGTATAATTAAAATATGCTAAAAGTATATTTGCAAAAGCAATAAATTGTTGCGCTTTGTTATCTCAGGTCAATGCTTTGCAAGATAAAAATAAATACAATATAAACACACGTGACTGACGTGAATAAGATCTTATCTTATTCACGATTTGGCACCACGTCTATTATGTAATTAGCGAATTTGAAATACTGCGTTTTGCGTCAATAGTATTCATTAATGGGTTTTTTAAACGAAAAGTTAACAAGCACACACGGACGCGAACGCACATGTCCATTAATACGTAAATGGGTGGTAAGTGAAGTATGTATTTCAAACGACGCCCCGTTAGTGTGTCAGGTAACGTAACACACACACTCACACACGCACACGCGCGCACGCACAAACGCGAACGCACCCGCACATTAATACGCAAATAGGCGGTAAGTAAAGTATGTATTTCAAATGTAAACGACGCCCGTTAATGTATCAGGAGCGCAACGTGGACGTAGAGCATCGGTTCGGCGAGACGTTAGGCGGGGGCGGAGGCCCGGGAGCTCACGTGTCGCGCGGTAAGAAGAAGTCCACGCGCTGCCGCATGGTGTTTCGCACCGACATCGTCAACGCCGCCGGGCAGCCCGAGACGCTGCAAGTGTGCTCCACGCAAATTATTTGCAGTAAGTATCTTGTCATTCGTCGTCTTTTATTTGTTCTATTTTGGCGGTGAAATATGTAGTATATTTACCCGGTAATTTACCGAGGCCTTCACATAAATTCGAATATTTGTGTGAAGGCCTGTTTATTGCATTTATTCTATTCACTAGCCCTAAAACAATACAACCTTCCTTTAACGATGAGGTTAACCAACAGGGAAGCCTGTACCTCCTTGCTCACTCCAGATGCTTTGAAAAATACAAAAATACCTTCTTAAATAAATATACTAAAATATACATGTTTTATGTCATTATTTTTTACACTAGCCACATTTAGCAATAAATAGCAGAAGAAAACTCGTTAATGCTCTGGCCACTCAGAGGCTAAATGTGTCAGGGCTCATATGAACATTACATAAATTCCCGTGCCCGGAACCGGCTTCATTCTTGTATTTAAATTCATCTTAAATACTGTAAAAAAAGTTCGACTACTTTTCTATACCTCCAATGAACACTACTACCCGTTTTGTTCTTATTTTATTTTTGTTTCTTTTTAACAAAATTTTGGGAGCATAATATTAGTAAATAAATATGACTGTTTACAAAAGTAACAGAAAATGGCCAAGAAATAAAATTGGCGTAGTTGTTCATTGGAGGTATCGTTTTGTGGTACTACTCTGAAGCACTTGAATACATAGTCGTGAAATAAATTTAAAAAATAGTATGATACGTTTTAGAATTTAGACCTGAGTCGATCAATCAAATCCTAATTACCCGGACCGATCATGACCCATGCGTAATGTGACCGGGTCAAATGTTCGATGCTTTAACCCAAAGCGGTCCCCCAATGGGCGCTGGAGAGTCCTAGGTAGGGGCCTCGGAAGCATTTGAAAAAAAAAACCTGAATTATATATATAAACTACACTACTAATTTTTTTCCTTGTGATTTTTTGTGTTAAGTTAATATAGAAAATACTTGTTTTCAATTCTTTTTTTTACGGCGGTCGGCGTTGAAATTTGTTTATCTTGCCTAAGAGGGTGGTGAGTCTAAAGTTCGGGAACCTATGCTTTAACCGGTCTTTCGTCGCTCACGAACACGAATGTTCTATCGAGCAAATGTTCGACTCTATCAAAATATTTTTATTATTATACTTAATATTATTTTTTTATTTTTAATATTTTATATTCATTTTGAATTATTGTTATAATATATCGTACACTTATATAGTAATCTATAAATTATTATGATACTTAAATTGTTCTCCCTTTCCTTTTATTTTATTTTTATTTGTATGTTGATATACCCACATTCGTGCGATATCGACCAAGGTTGCCAACTGAAAATCAGCGCGGGGTATACTTTGCCCTGCAAATGCTGAGGTGGTGACCTATTCGACGGGGCATGCATACAACGTTTATTGTTTTTTGTCAATCCTGATTTTTACTCTGTTTCTTTTTTATATTTTTTATTTTTTTGTTTCATGTTTTTTTAACTGTTTACTTTTTTATGTATTTGCCTTCGTCGAATAAATGATTTTCTATTCTATTCTATTATTCTATTCAAAAAAGTGTAAAGATTGAGATGGTGAAAGAAGACGTGGACTTAACGTGAGAACGCACGCGATAACACAATACAATAATTTCAGTTGCAGTCAGGTAACAAAAGTTGGGCGTAAATGTGCAATTTCACAGCAGTTTGACTTTTCGATACCTAAAACCTCTTCCGTTTTATTAAGGCTTCTTAAAAAAATAAATTGATTTATTTTTCAGCGCAACCTCCTGGCGTGCCCGAGGTATGCCGCAAGTCCCTGGTGTCATCTCCGGCCACGGGCGGCCTGGAGCTCTACCTGCTGGGAAAGAACTTCCTCAAGGAGACCCGCGTGGTCTTCTGCCAGCACGAGGACAGTCATCCACCCTGGGAGGAGGAAGTTGTACCGGATAAGGAATTTTTGCAACAGGTAAGTGTGTTTTCTTTTTTATTCTACAGTTTAGTGCGTACAAAAAACATTACGTCCCTGTATTATATTGTTAAAAGTGTCGCTCTGAAAAACCTCTAATTCCTCGTCTTAACTATGGTTATTTATGTAACACATACATAATGACAAATGTGCAAAAGTCAAAGTCAAAGTCAAAGATAATTTATTCCATAGGTAAAATAAATTTACACTTGAAAACGTCACATTTAAACTTAAGCTACTGCTCGTTCACTACGCTGACCTCCCTGAGAAGAACGAGCAAGAAACTCTAGGGATTGCTCTTTTCAAATAAACTTAAATGCTATGGAATACATTTTGAATCAAATTTGTGTGGATTCTGGAGCCATGTCGTCTTTCCATACATCTTTATCTAACACGTAGTCTTCAATTTTGTAATATGCTTTTTCGATCAAAATATTTTTAATGTACTTTTTAAACTTAGGAAATGATAAACTTAATATATGCTCCGGAATCTTATTGTAAAAACGTATACAGTTCCCCATAAAAGAGTTGTTTACCATGGTTAAACGAAATGTTTTGTTCAAAATGTTTTCTTGCTTTTTAACCCCTGACGCACAAAGAAAGCTGTGTGGGGCGACCTTAATGCTCGAGTAGCTTGCAGCCTGGTTTTCATGGTGTCGCCATCATTGAGGGTTCGATCGCCGGCGAGGTTTTTTTTAGTAATATCAAGTGACAGGACGAACAAGTGGTGCGCCTGAAGGTAATCTACACCCTGTCCATAACAGTTGCAGTGCCATTCAGAGGCTTTAATTCGCAAAGATCTGAGGGGCACTGCCACCGCGCCTGTCACCCTGAGACATAAGTTGGCAAGTCCCATGTGCCTGTAATTTCACCGGCATCCATACCCTTCTAAACCGGAACGCAGTAATGCTAACATTACTGCTTGGCGGCAGAAATAGGTAAGGTGGCAGTACTTCCAAGAAAACTAACTTTTCCCTTTAAAATAACAAAGTAGATAGAGAATAATGTCATCATTTTTAATTTCAAATTTTTTTTCCAGACGCATCTGGTCTGCTGTGTCCCGCCGTATGTTCGTACTGATATCACGGACCCGGTGACAGTGCAGCTGTTCGTGCGATCAGGTGGCAAGACTTCGGAGCCACACGTGTTCTACTACACGCCGGCGCGCCTCGATGCCGGTCCACTGCACTGCACGAGGCACCATTCGCAAGGTACCACTACAGTTCGTGTTAGTCGCACTGTGTGCCGCCTGCTCACGGCTTCATGGGACAATGCACGCAGGGTGTATTCGGGACTATAAATCGAAGACATTTTATCGAATATCTCCATCAACGCGTTAAAGCCCAATATAATTGAGGGTCTCTAAACATTATGCCACCAGAGGTCGCCACTTAAGCGAAAAGTCCAAATTAAAAGTGACTTATTCAAAAAGTAATATTTTTTTAAACTAACTAAACAAATAAAAAAGTGACATGAAAAATGTCAAGGAATAATACGATCGTCACTAATATAAACAGTGATCATTAATGAATAAATAAATAAATAGTTGTTAAAAAAAAAGACATAGGTCAGGTTCGTTCCGTAGCTCAGTTGGGAGGGTGTCAGCCTCGGTAAGGTGAAGGCGCTGGTTAGAGTCCAGCCGAAATCGGGTGAATTTTCCTTTTTACGTCCAATCGTTGTATTCATAATTGGACGTAGTTAAGCAAAAAGAAGCTACAAAATTATCAAAAAATGAGTTATGTGTACCAAACGGTTCCTAAAGTCTAACCTCGTAGATCAGCAAAAATTCAACATATAAACATAAATATATATCTCTCTGGAGGTACATGACATTATTCGTTTTTAACTTTTTGTTTAACTACGTCCAATGCTGCCATCTGCCCTCGTAGCATGGCTACGCATGACAGTCGCGACGTGCGCGATAAAATTGAAATAAACGCGCGCTATTGGCTGTCTCAATCAGATCTAATTTAGATAGCCAATAGTGCGCGTTTATTTCAATTTTACTGCGCGCCTCTTCTAACTATCTACTATCATGCATAGCGATACTACGGGGGCTGGTGTGCACAAAACCATGATTACCTCCTACTTCTCTATGCATTAGACCCTACGATTCACATTACAATGGTCCCGATTACACCATGACAATACCGTCGTCATAAAGCACAATAGAATGAATTAAACAAATTACATCCATAAATCTATGTAAATCAGTTCAATTTAGAACACCATGAAGAGTGTTTCAATGTTTAGTTAATTATCTACGTTATTTATATATATGTATTTAAATAAAATCATGCTTTCTTACACTTTGCTTGGGATATTATGTGTGTAGAAAATTGACACTATTTTGGTGTTTCATAATTATGACGAAAAACGCTAATTTGTAAGTTTTATTTTCATTCTTTTTTTTATTTTATAGATTTTATGTTTTGATCAAAATTCGCGTTATTCGTTTCATGTAATCATGTAATGTAATACATAATGTGCTTATGTGATATTAACGTGTTAATAAATAAAAATTATTCAAATATTGCTTTCCGATGTGCTGAAAATTCGTATATATACATTTTTGCTTTCAATGGATATTGTTTAAGGTTTTCGTAATTCATTTTATTTAAATGTTTATTTACTTTATTTTTTACTTGCGTCAGAATGTCGTAATAAGTTATTTATAAAAATAACTACGTGGAATTAATTACGAAAACTTGAATGCGTTAAAATAGTAAATGTTATTTGTTTATTTATGGTTTTGTCGTTGGTTTTCTTAAGTGAAATGTTATGGAACTGTGGAGAAATGACTGATGCGCGACTTGCGTACTCTTTCTTTTTGTCCCTTCTGTTCAAGCTAGGTCTGTCTAGGTAGCGCCCGCCGCCGCCGCCCGCTGCCCGCTGACTGCCACCACGGTACTGACAACCGCACACACACACCCACCCACGCACATACCCTGACACAAGTGTGGAATCGCACACTACCACTCACCCTACCACTTTTTTGGATAGTATTGAAAGCAATATTCTATTTACATATTAATCATTTACTTACTAGGTTCAATAGAATACTTTGCTCAGATTACCCGAGGAAGAAAGTAAAAATTACTATCGAAATTTAATTAAATTATTTTCCTATGTCAAGTACGAAAATAATGTTCAATTTTAACCGACTCACGGACTGACAAAGATTTCGAGCTTGGCCGCATCCCCGAACTCACAACACACCTCACCACAAATTATATTACACTCTCCTGTCGACACCGCAACAATTCAACACCGGATCATTATAGTTGCAGACGTTTCAGAGAAGATACGGATCGGATGACTTGACAATTATTCTGGACTTTCAAATACTGGCACAAAACTGACTGCGCAGAAACACTCCAGCCGACACTCCTTAGGGCCAGGGTACAGACTGCACAGAACCCTCCCCACACGTAGCTAGCCGCGTCCGTGACCGCCGCCCGCGCCCCGCCCGCCCCTCGGCCGCGACGACCTCCATCTTGGGCGCCGCCCCTTCCCGCGCTAACTCCCCTCCCGGTCCGGCCCCCGCCGTAACAGCCGGCGACCAAAGTGGGGGTCGGGGGGGGCGCGGCGGCGGCACGTAGATAGGGGCCGCCGCGCGCGGGCGGCGACGTGACGCGGCCGTGACGCCCGCAGGTGCGGAGGAGGCGCGGCCCGTGCTGCTGTGGGGCGGCGCGGCGCTGATGCCGCCGCCCGCCGCGCCGCGCCGGGCCAGCCTCATCGTGCCCGACGCGCTCAAGAGCGAGCTGCAGGACGAGTCCTCGCAGCACTCGCTGGCGGACGCCGAGGCCTCGTGCGGCGCCGACGGGCCCGAGGCCGCCGGGCCCCCGGGGCTGGCCGAGGACCTCGAGGTCGTGGACCTGCGGCTCAAGGCCGAGCTGCCGCGCGACGCGCCGCCCTTCGCCTTCGACGCCATCAAGCTGTCGCCGCCGGCGCCCGCGCCCGCCGAGTCGCCGCTCGCCTCCTTCACGCAGCAGCTGCAGGCCATCCAGAACCAGGCGCAAACCGACAAGATGGTGGAGACCGTGACGGCCGCCATCTTCAACTCGGCCGACAACGCCGGCCAGATGTACGGCGAGGGCGCCATCGGGCCCATGGACCCGATGCGCCGCCTCATCTCCGCCAAGACGGCCATGAACCTGGAGACGGACATGAAGGCGCTGGACTCGGAGCTGCTGCTGCAGGCCTCGGCGGAGCGGCGGCTGGGCGCCTACGGCCAGCTGCCGGCGCGCGAGGAGCCCTTCAACCCGTTCGGCGCCATGGCCAAGATGGAGCTGGAGCCGGCGCAGATCGAGCGGCGCCTGGCGCGGCAGAGCGCGCACATGGAGGCGCTGGTGGAGGACGCCATGAAGGCCACGGCCGCCATGCTGCCGGCCGACGCCGCCAAGCTGGACGAGCTGGTCAACTCGCGCGTGGACGACCACCTGTCGGGCGCGTCGTCGTCGCCGTCGGCGTCGCACGCCTCCGACGTGCTGCTGAGCCCGGGCGCCGCCGTGGTGACGCGCGGCTCGCCCGCCGCGCTGCTGCCGCCGCTGCCGTCCGCCATGTCGCCCGACGACATCCTCAACCCGCAGGTGTCGCCCAGCATGCTGTGCGACTCCAACCAGCGCCTGGTCATGCCCCCGGGCCCCTCGCAGGAGGAGCTCATGATGATCCCCGAGCTGCCCACGTCGGTGAAGACGCCGCCGGCGGCCGTCAAGTCGATGATCCTCAACGCCGCCGCCGAGATCCTCACGTCGGACACGACCATGAACGCGCTGGTGACGTCGGCCATCAACACGGCCAACATCCTGACGACGGAGAGCGCGGGCGACGACGCGCAGCCGCCGGCCGGCGCCGAGCCCGCCGGCGAGACGCCGCTGGTGGCCATGTCGCAGGCCGTGTCGCAGGCCGTCACGCAGGCCGTGTCCCAGGCCGTGTCCCAGGCGGTGTCGCAGGCCGTCTCGCAGGAGATGACGGCGCCGGTGCAGCGGCTCACCGACATGAGCGACCAGGACCTGCTGTCCTACATCAACCCCAGCACCTTCGACCAGGGTGAGTACACCATGGAAATGTATTACTGAGTTCCTAATTTGGCAGTGCTTTGATTTGTGCAATTTCGGTGAAAGTTTCTGTGATCGCGTATTAAATGCAAAGACTGTCTGTCGCGAACGCGTTCGTAACCGCGCGAGTGCGCCGCGTTGAAGGACTTTAAAGTGGTAGCTTTAACTCGATGTTTGTTAACGATTCTTATATCAACTGCCGCAGTCATGGATCTGTGATGAAAGAAATTAATTCTTTATGTGTTTCTTCCAGTATAAAGTGTGGCCGCGTCGCGTCGCGTGAAAGTCCCCGCAAAAGAAAGTCGCGTAAGAATTGTGGGATGCTTTTTGTTCCGAATCGAACTCATCGAAATGTGACTATTGTAAGCCTATTGGATGCATTTCAAAGTGATGTGTGAAGGGCTCAAACGCAGTTTTTATGGGAATTTTTAATAGATGTTACGTTAGTTTTATTGTTAAACGTAAATACACTATAGGACACCATAATCTCCGTATGTGCGTTGAAAACGAATGCATAATGTTTGTTACGTGTGCTATTAAGGTTTTTATGATTCTCATATTAAGTTTTACTTGTATTTTTGAACGGCAAAAGTATGAAATGTCAATTATGTCAAGTGAGTTCAGTATTACAGGGCCATATATTCATTGTACACAGAATCAGTTGAACTGTATTTTTTTAAAGGATTTAAACATTTTACACATTATATTAAATGCTGTTGAGATGTGCGAGATCGTTCAAGTGTTTTTATTTCGAATTTTATCGTATAAATATTGTAAGGTTAGCGTAGCTTTGTATTTATGCTGTTATTGCTATCGAGTAGATATATGTACATAGATATTATATACTGCGTACATGTTCGAGTACCAGACCATTTATTGGCAAAGTACTTTCACCGCTAATTTAGCCTTTTATACATAGTGACAGGGCTCCGTCGCTCGCTCGCGGTTACGTGTTAAATACCTACCGCTAAGTGTACCGCCGACAGTACAAACGCTCAGTCAAGTATTTCATTTACATTACAATCCTTGTACAACCCCAGCATTCGGTTCCGCACGACTGCACACGACGGGTAACGTTATTTTGCCTCTCTGTGCGCGTGATTAGGTTCCTTTTTCCTCGTGGTGAAAGCCTGGTTTCATTAGTCATATTTGGTAGGCCATTATAACGTAGGTATTTCCGATTTTGTATGAGAGTGATCAGTTATGTAGTAACTATTATGTAATCTGTGACAGTGATCCGAGACAATCAACACACAAATATACACTCTCCGTCACATTTACCGGAACAATAATAAAATTGATAATATATACGACTAAAGTTTATATTTAAATAGTAATTATACATAAAAGATCAATTAAATCAACTCCTTTTAACATCTTAGTTAGTACAACCCTACTTTATTGTAACAAATCGAAATTATACAATGCGTTATGTTCTGATTTTTGTTGCACAACAAAAGCGACTTACATTTTAAAAACTGTAACAGTTTAACATTGATTAAGTTTAATAAATAAAACTTTTTCAACCAAAGTTTATACAAGAACGCAAAAACTTTAAACCACTTGACAAACCTGTGTTAGTAGGAAATCAATAAAAAAGACAGTCGACTAACTTTTTATTTTCAAATTTGGACTTAAAAAGAAAATAATATACTTGGATCACGATATCAGTTGCGATAAATCATACGGCAATTGGGCAGGTGAAACTGATATTGCGATCAAAGTATACACATTGGAGGGTATCAGTTTCCACTACAAACCGATCGCGCGATCAAAGTATACATACCCAATATAAACGGCCAGACTTTTGAAAAGAAAAAAACGTTTCGTGAAAACGGTTTTTGACTAGTGTTCCCGTAAATGTGCCTGTGTGTGTGTATAAACCATTATACAAAGTTACTTGACAAGTTGAAAAAAAATCTAACTTCTATTACCAATCCGCAGCCGCGCGCCCGATCCTTGTTTTAACAGAGGCCCCCAGCTAACATGGACGGCAAATTCAATCTTTGGCATTTTTTATTGCCATGGACTGTTTACGCTTTAGTGCGGTTTGCTTATGACTATTTAGTGAATAAGCCGCTATTTCAAAACCGTCGTACCACGTTGGAATTTAAAATTTTATTTATTTATTGATCAACCGTGTATACAATGCTTTATTAGCGGTGTACATTAGAAAATGTTTAATTTTTTTATAAATTTGAAACTAATTTCACTGCACGGTGTTATAGAAAATCACAAATTCGTTTTTCGACTTTTTAATCTGTAACTGCAGTTGAAATTTAAACCAAATGTTAAAAATCCGATGCCATTATTAAGTCTCATACTTGAGAATACTTTATTCCGATTTCATGGATTAAAAGAGAATATAAAAAAGCAGTCTCCATTAAAATAAAAAAAGAACTGTACATTGTTGGCGCCAATTTTAAATTTTAATAGAATTACAGAACGACATGGAGTAGAACGACTACCTTATGGCAATACAATATTTCCGCCTAGTGTAGGGCCCCGACAATTTTCAAACAGTGGAAATTTAAAAAAAAATTAAATATTCGAAAAATATTCAACGAAGACTCATATTATTGCCTACCTTAAGACATATCTTTTAAAGTTTTATTTATCATGAATTATACAATAAAATTGTATAAGCATTACTAAATGTAATTTTCTAAACCCTTGGCTTATTTTCACACATTCTTTTCTGTCACTCTCATGATAGAGTTCAATATCTTCAACTTTTGACAGATATCATTGTCGAAAATAGAAAAAATAATCACAAAAATATTTTTTAGAGCCATAAAAAAACAAATTCAGTTTTATTGTTTTTGAGTGGCACGCACACCAAGCGTGAAATGCCAAGAAAAAGAAAATCTCATATAACGTTGAAAAACATCAAAAATATTATCTAAACCTTGAAAAACCGAGGCACCTTGACCTACCCAAATTAATGGGAAAAAACTTGGTAATATTGAGCCCAAGTAAACTGAGGGTCGTATTCTAGAACTCTACTCAATGCTCAAGTCAGTATTGGACTGGAAACACAAGCACTGGAAATACGACCCTAACGGCAGGGACTTGAGTATGATTTCGAGTGCTTTAAACCATACTCAAATCCTGACTTGAGCATTGAGTAGAGGTCTAGAATACGACCCTTAAAGTCAATTTTAAGTCCTAATTTTTTCAAGTGCTGGTCACTGGAGATAGTATCATCCAAAATGTTTTTAAAGTAAAACTAGACGCATCTCGAAATCTGAGTGTCACTTCAGCCTACATGCTCTTAATTCCGGAATCCGGAGCTGTTTATTACTACGGGCCTAAGTAATAGATTGTTATTATAAGCTTCACGAGACTTTTCGGGACATAGCTTCTTTTGTTAATCCATGAAATAAACAAATGTATCCGAGTTAACAGTCATTACTTAATGACAAAATGGGAACAACACTTTCAGAAACTATCTTTTGTATTGTTACGTTTATTTTATCTTAATTTGATAAAGTACCACGTTTATTTATGATCTTCACAGGTGAAGTTCGAATTACTGTCCACGTGGAACTTTGTCAAAATAATTTTATCAGTTCCATGTTAAATGCGACAATGTTGCATCTCACGATTAAATTCGTGTGATTCCTTCACTTCTGAATCTTTACGCAAGTTACATTTAGCATTTTAGAAGTTTGGTGTCGTAGGTAGAAATATATTATGATTGTGATAATGTGTGAATGTTATTTCATAGTATATTATTCAACACCCTAGCTAATTCTATATATAAGGAAAACAGTACTGATGTGATGTTAGTAGGTGTCAGGGCCGGCGCCAGGAGAAACTTGGGGCCCCAAATATTTAAAAACTCGCCTCGGATATTTTTGTACCATTTAAGAGTAGGTTCCATTAAGAAGTAAAGCTGTCACTAAATGCAAATAAAAAAATTGGCAAGAAATTAACAGCCGGGTCCCTGTTCTCCATGGCTACGACCCTAAATTTTATATAAATATGTTAATCATATAACTAAAGTTCATTTTTATAGTAAATGAAGTCTAAGCTACATATTTAAATGTGCCATTTACATGTAACCTTAGAGTAAAAGCATATCGAGACAAAAACCATCGGTTGAATTGTTTTGGCCGACAAATATACTATTTCATAAATATATACAACATACAACATTGTGCCTTGAGGAGCCATTTACAAGAACCAATACCACTAAAATATTTAGAGTATTAGAAAAATGTTTACAGTATTGATTCAGGGACCAGATTGAACAATACATATATACAAAATATACTAACATACTTATACATTAAATCATATATACATATTTATACCACCGCCTGATCAAAGAGGGCGCTCATATTCTTCTAAATGATCTTGCTGAGTATTGTATTTTCCACAAAATCGGTAAGCTGCATTTTAACTCAGTTTAGGAGTTCAGAACTATTAACATTAAACAAACGTAATCGATCTGATCACAATCCTACGTAAAACATAGCTTGTAAACATCTTGCACAAATGTAAACACAAAATAACGCAAGGCAAATTAACTGTTGCCACAAACAAAAACTGCTAAATCTGAGCAGTTTAGTCTTCCTTACAAGTCTGGTACACAAATGGCGTTTTTTATCAAGCTAGAAGACAGGTACAGGTGCTACACATGCCGAACTCTGACATGTGATAAAAACATGTCAAATTTTATTTATAAAGTCTTGTCTGTCAATTTTCACGCTTATAATACATATATTATAAGAAAACCGTTAACATTTCATATGATTAGAACTTGACAGATGGAGACTTGAAATTCATATAATTTAGACGAAGTATTCGTCTAAATTATTGGCTTAATATGTTAATTATAAGTTAATTATATTTACCAATTGTATCAATGAATCGCATCACAAAAATAGTTTAGTTATGTTTGTCTTCCAATGTTTTATTTTTGGTGCCTTTGATATCGAAAACCCTGCCTGCTGTGCAGAGTCAAATAGGGTTCTGAAATTAAGTTTAGGGACCTCAAAACTTTGTTCCTGAGTTCGTAAGTGGCTTTAAAACGGGTTTATAAATTGCACTGCAGAGCTGTGATACTTCTAACGCATTCATATATTATTCTATCGGGTTTGAGCATTGTATTTCGTTAAAGAATTTTCCACGACCACGATTTAGAAGAGAAATGTGCGATCTTATGAATCAATGGAATTCTCTCATTGGTCTAATTAAGTTTAGATAAGGCGTCATAAAATAACACGAAAATCATAAATAAAACTGTCGTAAAATATTACACAGCTTATAAAAAACAAAGTTTACACCTCATTAATAATGATTATACTTTAGAAAATGCTCGCTCGAGCCAGATTTCGTTTAATAGACATAAATTTGTTGCATTTCACACAAAGGAGACATGTA